TTAGTCTTGCTACCATCCACACTAGCTTTAAAGTGGCTGTGTTCTGCTGGTACTGCAGGGATGGATGCTATTTACCGCTGTGGAAAGACCGACAGGGTATGCATAAAACAAGCTCTTGTTTGTCAAACTCTTGATCCCATAAAACTTGACGTCTAGCGTACACGCGTTCGATTTTGGAGGTGTTGCTGAATTTCCACTTTCAACGCTCTTGGTGAACTGTTGATCGTGACAGTCGTGGCCTTGTAAGACTGATGGTGTGGATGTAGTAACTTGCAGTGCTATTAGAAAATACAAGCAGACAAGCAAGAAATAGAAACCATGACAACTAAGCTCTTGTTAAATTGCGGGCGATGTAAGGTGAATTTGGCCGTAAATAGCCGGATTTCTTACATTTCCACTGGGCATTAACAAATAGTTGATTCGAGGGCGTCAGTACGAACTAAAATACTTTGAAATGTAACTGTTGCTTCCGCTGTCTGATATAACACTGAATACTAGCCGGTTTTGCCAACAATTTCCATTTCTTAAAAATAAATGTTGGCCTTCTGGCGCACAAGTTCCACTACAATAGTTTCTGTCGTAGTCCAAAGCTGATAAAACAGTCGGATGATTCGACCTGCATCCACATTTATATAGCACCACCGTGTATTTGGATGCGGTTTATGAGAAAACTCGGATTGTGGGATTTGGTAGATAAACTTCTGATTTGATTTTGGTTATTTTATTGTGACAACTTGGTTTGCAGGTGTCTGGTTCTCTTTTTATGACGCCCATTAAATATGTAGCAAACCCCTGGAGATTCTCGGTTTCTGTGTCGCTGGTCATGTCTCCTTCCAACGTTTTCCTGTCGATAATGAAAGACGCTGCAATTGACTGACTTTAGTTCCCTTCAGACATTCCAGAACACTTATTTGGGCAGTAAGTTGGCCGGTAGTACTTTATTCAGGTTGCTGCTTCCAAATAGTAAAATAACCAGCGTAATGAAGAATACGGCCGTAGAAATGTACAAATATTCAGTTCACAGTCATTAAAATAGTGCTTCGTTGACACTAGAGCTCTGTTAAGTTAATGAAAGAAGTCAAAGGAGCGCAGAAATGAGGGATACCGTGGGGTCTTTTGTACAAAAACCTGCTCTTGATTCTGTAACTGGAAAACCGCAATGTAAACTGCGCTGACTCATGAGCCTGCTTTATTTTCTTCACTCAACACCGTAAATCAAGAATGTCAATTTTTTATCTGTCATAAGTGTACCCACTATTTTTACAGAGGCCTTACTATTTTACGAATATCCTCACTCCCTGACTGCTTTTATATTCCGGTTGATGCAGTGCGCTAAAGGCAATTTGGGTTTTTCTGTGTCTCTTATGATCGTTTTTTTTGTTCGAAAGGTTCTTATGCCTCCAAGTGTGAAGATAATTTTTAAAACTTTTGACGTATCGCCTCGTTCATACCTCAAATGAGTCTTTTTTTCCAGTACCCTTAGCCACCATTCCTCGTTTTCCTTCCAGGGGAAGTGGCAGGTACCACTACCAAAAGTTCGGACAGTGTCTGACGCCGAGGCCTTTCGAGTGGTAAAGTCTGGTAAATCAAAGAGGAAGGGATGGAAGCGAATGGTTACTAAGATGTGTTTCGTGGGTGACAACTTCACACGCAAACCACCGAAGTTCGAACGCTTCATCCGGCCCATGGCAATGCGTGTGAAACGTGCCAATGTGACTCATCCCGAATTAAAGACAACCTTCTGCCTGCCTATAATAGGTGTGAAGAAAAACCCAAGCTCCCCTCTTTTCACATCGCTTGGTGTCATCACAAAGGGAACTGTAATTGAAGTAAGTCCCTCCCCTGTTTGTTATGACACTTGATGAATCTTTATTTGAAA